TGGTTGGTTGATTGATTGATTGATTGATTGATTGATTGGTTGATCGATTGACTGAGCTTTCCCTATTTTAGACAGAAAGCATATAATTATATATATATATATATATATTATATATAAACATAACTTAAAAACTAGCAACTAAAATGATAATTGATAATTAATAAAGTGACCTTCTTTTGCATTATCTATAATAATGATGATAATTTGACCCAATTTTTGCTTTTTGAGGAACACTCTGATAGCAGTGCAGTGGGCAACTCAGCAGGGTTATCCCCACTAGAAACAGGGGTGCGCCAGAGGAGTGGGAGCAGAAAATCCAAATTTGTCGGGGAGAAAAACTGTAGGCCTACTTTCTACATAGGCTGTAGACTCCGAAATCGATTAAATAAGCCTTTGGATGGTCATATATTTTAGGGGGCCCCCACACTATCGAGAGATGTTTGAGCGACCCCCAACCACGCCCCCCCCCCTTTTTTTACACATAAACTAGAGGGCCGTGAATTTATAACAAACGTTCATCCCTTTTTAAGTTGGACCCCAGGGTTCCCCTACACCTACAAAACTAAACAGGGGTACCGGGTGGGGGCGGTTCCAGCAAGGACTGTACATTACTGCCAGTGGCCGGTCTTGCACCTTAAATGGTGGTGATGGTTTTTCACTTTCTTGGCGATCTTGATTAGTTTTAGGTTATTTCGTGTTTTAGTTTTTTGGGGTTTTTTTCTATTTTTTTTGTTTATGTGAAGCGCATAGAAGCTCCGGCATTATGCGCTATATAAATATAACATTATTATTATTTACCACTACCGTAGTGCATGTCGCATGAATTAAGGATGGGTTAAGGATGTGTTCTAAAAAACTTAGGGTCGTGAGTGCGAATCGCGTATTTAGCAAGTTTGAATCACGTATCAATTATTTATTTTCTTCATTTTTCAAACAGCTCTCATCCATGTTCATTAAAAACAAAAATTATTAAAAGAAAATTATGAAAAGATAATTAACACCGAGGCGCGATTCGAACTCGCGACCTTCGGTTAAGGATGTGTTCTAAAAAACTTAAAGTCGTGAGTTCTAAACGCGTCTTAGTATTCACACTCATTTTTTTTTTCAATTTTAAGTACTATTTCAACTTTGTACAAATGATTTATTGTACAAAGACCTTAAGTGCCCCAGTAGTGGTATGGCAATAATGTACAGTAATTTTTAAATTTAAATTAGAACGTTCATTTGTAAAAGAAAACAAAAACGTTTGGATTAACTTATATGTTGGTGGCGCTCTCCGGGATGAGGGAAAATAAAAATAAGGTCTGGGTTCCAGACCTAATTAGTCTGGGTTCTTCCAGACCTAATTTTGGGTTACTCACTCTTTATCGTACTTCGTGCGCGCCATACCTAATTCATTTGGCGTCCCATATTCGACTCGTTGGTGGCGCTGTCCAGAATGAGAAAAATAATTAAAAAAATAAAAGATTTGTGTCACTGTTGTGGTGTGGCAAGCAAGTTTATATCGCTCAAATCAAACGTGCGCGACGAGGGTGAATCGTTGGTAGTAGTCATGTTGTATTTACAAGCTGCGGAGATAATAGAAACAGCAAAGACGCAAAAGAAGAGTGTAAAGTCATTAATATACGCTTGTCAATCACAGGTATTTCTCAGTGTTATTATTTAAACGAATGCTCTTTTTTCCTATATAGGCCTAGGCCTAGTTCCTCTCTGGCCTACCTAGGCCTAGAACCTAGAGTAGAGGCAGAGGCCCGAGGGGCCTAGATAGGCATGATGCTAACTGTAGCCTAGTGTAGGCAGGCCTAGACCTAGCCTGCTACTAGTAGTACTAGGCCTACCTTGTCTTTAGGCACAATTAACTAAGCTAATCGAGTGGTGTGAACTTGTGCGTAGTACCCAGCGTCAGTATTTATTAACCCCCAAAATTTAGCCTAGAATATAAATTCCCAGATAGGCCTAGCAGGGGGTCCTACTAAAAAACGCCCGGGGCGCCCGGAGACGCCCGGGGAGCCCGGAGACGCCCGGAGCGCCTGGATGGACGGCATGTAAGTAATGTAGGATTCGAACTTTTAAACAGTCGAAACGTCTGGTTGTAAAATATTTATTGTGTGCGATACACCGGTATGGTAATTAGTTCGGGTTGGGCGCGGCAGGTTTGAATGCTGAAATCCATCAGTCGACAATAGTACGTTGATGCGGTTAGTCGTGTCTGATGCTATAGGATGATTAACTGAATTAAGGTAGGCGTATAGTTTGTTCTGTAATGAATTTGATCACGTAATGAATTTGTATTATTATAGTAGTAACAATAAATAAATAATCCAAAAATAAATATATATGTTGATGTTAATTACATTTCTTATAGTTGATAATGGTGCTGTGATAATGTAGACTATTGCATTGTTCATGGTTGTAGTATTGCTTTATTAGTGATAATTACCTGTGTTAGTTAATGACTACGGTACTATATTGAATATTATATGTTTATTGGAAAAAATAGTTTAAATTAATAATTAGTTGGTATTTCGTTGTTTAATTTTGTAGCATAATAAAGTAGAATTTCCTATATTTGTGAGGACTGGGATTGGAAGATTTGAGTACCGTATCGTTTGCATCGTTAGGACTATTGTTGATCTGTAAGTCAAGATGGCCGATTATTTGTTGAATTTCGGTATTGTTGTTTATGTAAGATTGATAATTGTGATTCTTATGACTATTACAT